GGAGTGAGTGTTACGAAAACTAAAAAACTAACTGATGTTGTGCTTCCAGAATTGATTCATAATAAATATCTACAATTAAATTTTAAATATATATATATATATATATATATATAAGTGTGAGAATGTTAAATAGACCAAGGCTTTTCTTAAATTGATCCACCCATCCTAACCATAATGATGAAGAAGAAAAAAAAAAAAAAAAAAAACATCTGGATTCATTTCTCTACTATTGGATCCAAAACCAATGAAAACCAACCACATTTATCATGATTACTATATTCTTCATAATGGGTAGATCAATTTAATATATATTAATTTAAAAAGTTAGAAATATCATTAATTAAAATTCTACTTTATATTTTTTAGGGAAGTAGACTTGAAGTTGAACATTGACTTTGTCATAAAATTGAGTAAAGTGATTTTAGAGATATTTATTTTTTAAAATTTTTTTGTCTTTCTAAAAGTAAAATACAATCTACTTGCACTTCAAACATAATAAGAATTTCTAAAAATATTATATTTTGGATACAATAAAATTTAAGAGGTTATTTGTTTAGATTAATTGTAGCTTTAAATATAAGAAACTCTTTAAGAATTTGTACAAATCTAACGACATAAGTTTTTAAATAAAGGCTCATAAAGCACCAATTATATAGAATTTTTTGGCCATTTTTTATTCTAAAAGAATTTTAATGGTCTAATTTAATAGGTTTTAATACCAATAAGATAACTTTTAAAAATATGCTTTTAATATTTTAAAAGATAGAAATCTGATAGTAGAATATTTGGCAAGTAAATCATTATAATCTTACACAATAATAAACATGCAACCAAAAGAAACTTAATTTAAAAAGAAAAACCTACATTTAAAGTTGGTAATAAGCTATAGTCAAATTTTTATATTGTCAACACAATACTTGATTTTATTGCAATTAGATTATTGAATTAGACTATTATTTCAAAATAAATAAAAATAACTTAATATTTGATGAAATAATTGATACTAAGATTTATTTATTTATTTATAAAAAATAATTCTTACAAAAAATATTAATATGTTAAGAATGAAGCTTTGTTCTTAACATTAATTCTTATAGAATCAACTTCAAAAATAACAATATATTTTATAATTGTAAAATGAAGCATATTTCTATGTTAGATTTCCAATGAAGCAACTTTATATTTTTGAAGTCATTTAGCTTATTCAATAAACTTTTTTATAAAGATTATTCTTTTCCAATCTTAGGAACTTCATAAGAAAATTCTTATTGTCTTGTAACATTGCCATCTCGAGTACTTTTTAAAATAGGATGTTTAATAGAACAACATTCTTTAAAAATAAAGTGTATATATATATATAGGAGAATATTAAATAGACCCATGCTTTTATTTGGTTGCAAATCTAATAATGGAAAAATGAATTTAGAAATCATTTATTATAATTTTATTATTATTATTATTATTTTTTTATTTCAATGATGATTAGGATGAATGGATCCATGTAATTAAAATTTGGGTGTATTTAACATTCCTGTATGTATGTATATATTTATATATATATATATATATATATATAGATGCATGTATATTAATGAAGCAGCAATCACAACTTTTATTCTTTTTGGATTAAAGATGACAATAACCATCAAATCAAACCAAACCTCCATTTTTAAAACATTAAATGAAACAATTTTCAGAAATTTTCTGATAAAAATTTCAGTCTGTTGTACTTTTCTGCGTAGAATATCGTGGTTAATATAAAATTAATTGGCCAGTTTTAATCGAAGATTCAAAGAATAAAGAGGCTATCAGGACAGGGGTGCCTCCCAGCAATGAATGAAAGCGGTGGGGTTTCCATCACCAGCCTGCAGGATTCATCATCCAATCAGGGGTAGTGAAGTTGGTTATTAAGGGCGACATCCAGGGGCAGACGAACGTCGTTCATCCTGTTCCCTCTTTTTGGGGAGCGTTTCGGGAGCACCGTTCCCCATCCCATGGGAATCCTCCTTTATGCTGCTCATGAGGGAAGTGCCCCATGATGGTGATCCCCCCACCCCCTCCCCCCCCCCCCCCACAAAGGCTTTTGTACTCTTCCATGCAATCTAGTGACTTGGGGAAGGGACATGGCCATGGCCATGGCCATCATATAACTAAATAACTTAATAAATAAATAACCAAATACAATTTAAATAAAATAGGGCCCTTTCTCATTTCTCCATAAATATATAAAAATATAATAAATTTTTTCAAAAATTCAGAAAATGATATAGTATGGGTGAGCAATGTTTAGTTAAGTACGTTTTAAATACTTTTAATGATTTTTAATGGAGCTAAAATCAACATATATGTGCTCATTTTTCTTGGGATTATTTTACATACATAAACATCACAAAAAAATAAAGATTCTACAAACATGGAAAATGTGATGGTAGAAAAAGAAAAAGAAACAGAAAAGAAAAGAAAAGAAAAGAGAAGAGCCCCACGCGAAACAATGAGAAAGTACCAGAAAGAAAAAGAAAAAGACATAAAAGAAAAAAGAAATTTCAGCGAATGAACACACAAAGTAGCAATCGCATTTCTCATCCATCGGCACCATACCACCATTTTCCCACATATACGTACGTACATTAATACGTACATATGGAGCAGAGGGCGGGCAGCATTCAGACTGGAGTGTTGGAAAGACCATGGAAGGTTCCATTGACCAGAGCAAGGTTGTACATACATTAATACATACATTCATACGTACATATCAGCAGGGCTTCATAGTCGCCGCCCTAGCCCCAAGTTTTCGCTCACCCCGCAGCCTGGTCTGGCCCAAGTAGGTATCGATGGTGCCTGCAATGTTGTGATACTACAAGTAATATATCGTAGTGTTTACCTGCTTTCACTGCACAGCATTGCATTCTCTCTGTTTCGAGCCTTCAGGACTTGTCGGTGCTAGGAGGAGTGCGCTGAAACTAACGTGGTTTTACGTGACAGAAATGGATGGGCCTAGAGGGAGTAATGTAAAGAGCAAGTGAAGGAGAAATATGGAGTGTGTATGTGTGTGTGTGTGTGAGTGAGTAAGTCAGAGGAGGGTTTTTTCTACTGGGTGGCTTTCTTCGGTGCACATGGATGATGAGTACATGTTGATAACTGAGTCCTTTCTTCTAACAAACCAGCCCCACCTATTAATAGTTTGACATTGAAATGTCCTGTAGCCGTAGAAGTACGAGAGCTTGTGTGCAGTAAATTTGGAATTTCAGGGGGGGAGCTTCTGTTTTAGACGTGCATGGACAACTGCAAGTCAGGGTTTCACAACAAAAAAGTTCCTGAGGCGGACGGTTAGGTTTGAAGTGTAGAGAGGTCTCATTTGGGGGGGGTGGGGGGGGTAGATGGGAATGAAACGTTGTGCAGACAGCTGAGGTTGCGCACATGGAGAGGTTGAGTGGACCAAAGGAACTAAGTGAAGGAAAAATAAATAATTAAATAATACAAAATACAAAACAATAAAGACAAATAAAAGAAAGACAAATAAGATAAAGACAAATGAATTTTTTGAGATATTGGTTACACAGAGTGTGAACAGTCAATATAGGGCTACAGGTTCAAAGAGCAAAATAATGCTGGTAGCTACCTCAAGCTACGTTTCTTTATGGTGAAGCTGAGAGGCCTCTTCAATTTGAAGATCAAACTTCAATAGTGAGCGTGAATGAACTTGTGAACAACATTGACACGAGTCCACTCCAGGGCAAAAGGTGCATTGAAATGGCTTTAGTGATCTTTCAATTTCATTGTGAGGACTTCTACCATCAAGATGGTTTCTACCCATTTCTGCTGCAAAAGCTGGTTGATCAGGAATCTACACAAACTGCTTCACAGATGCATCGTCCCCCCCCCTCCCCCCCCTCCAGTCACCCTGCCCGTTGACTCTTTTCTTCTCAAACTCTTCCTCTCTGCATGATTGTCATCGCATACAGCAATCAGGCCTGATGATTTAAGCGGGATCTCCACTTTATCCAGTTAAAGTACGGAGGTTAACCCAGTTAAGTCAGATTAGAAGCTATGTATCTCTCTCTATTGTGTCTGCTTCGAAGAAACGTCCATGACTGCAGATGACCATCTGTCATCTTAAGGGATGATCACGTCAAATTTTTAATAATTCTCATGATCAACAATAGAATTACGCTCACGCATTTAACCACACAACATTTGAAATTTGCGATTAAAGAACATAGCACACCTTCAACCGAGCCACTATAAAATTAATACTCTTCAATGGTTTAAAATTTTTCCCCCCTTGGCATTCTGTGGCTTAAAAGATGACCTACCGACTGCACCAAAACCTTTAAATTCATGGCTGATGGGGAAGTGTATTATCGCTTTACGTAGGAGAATACGACTTGGTCCCAAAATATCATTTGGATCTAAAACACAATCTCCTGCGAATACTTCATTCTCTGGGGGTTTGATGAGTGCCGTAAACTGTTCAATTTCGTTGAACTGTGCACTGATTGCGTGTCAAACATGAGATGGCAAGTTCAAGATCGGACATGCTGTGGGGGCTGGTTTCAAGTGCTCAAAATAACCGACAGATACCCATAGGATGAGATCAGCTCTGTGTGATATGCCGAGGCTCGGCTCCAGCAGAGCGGTAAATGATCACGAAAATCCTCAAGCTACAGGGAGGCGATGCCATTGTGCTCAATGTCAGAAAGTTAGCGAGCCGTGCAAATCTGTAAGTGATTGGGTTCTCCACTGGCAGTGACACCAGATACTTTTCTCTGTAACTTTGCAGAAGAGGACCTGGTATGAAAGCCAGAGAGGAACAGCTTGTCTGAAGCCTGCCTGTTCCCACCTTGCAAGGGCATGTCAACGAGCTAATGGACAAGACGCCGAAGTGACACTCCGGTACTTCGAACTCTGCCCTACTTACCTACACTGGAGCGACCCCTGCCAGCTCAGACCAGTCCGGGCAAGTCTCATCACCCCATCTAGATAAACCACATTCAAGCTCCGCTGCATCACTTCCATAATCTGCTAAATGAAGGGTAATGCGTCGCTGGTATCCGTAGTACGTAGTATTCTCTTGCAGAGCATCTGGAATCAACTGCATTGGTCTGGAATGCTTCGCCGGAAGTAATCAGACTGCTACTTACCTCAAGAGTGTCTATGACGAGGGATAATTTTGCGAGCTAGACTAGGTCGTGTGGACATTCGGATGCAGGGCATTAGCAAGTCAGACATGGCGTGAAATTTCTTCTGAGCATCGATTGGTTAGGGTTTCACACATTCGGTATGACTAAGACAGTTGAGTCCCTTGATTTCCGTCGTTAAATACGTAGTTCAAGTGGGCATTCTGCAAGAACTCACGAGAATCTTTCGCGAATTAGAGATTCATTTAGCGGTATGGTAGGGCTCTAGCTGATCAGATTGCTTTCTCTGGCTGTTTTGAGGGAACTCTATCAGGATGATCTCTAGCACTTAATATACTCGTGATTCAGAATACTTGCATAATAATTCGACGACCGCGACAAGAATCGTTTCGCTCGCGCAGTTGGAGAAGGACAGTAACAATATTCAAGTTGAGAATATTGTTTAGAAGTGTTTAAAGCGGGTGGTTAATTACATTAACAATCGAAAAGTTTCCAAGCGTTGGTATTCCCCGTCACCTCGAAGCCGATATTCTCTAGGTTGATAGTGAAACTCGCCACGTTCATCTGGTTGTTAACAGCTAACATAAAGAAGTCCATTGTTCGGTAGAAAGCTCCAAGAGAGTTACTGGATCCCAGCTCACCGTGCGCAAGTTGTGTATTTTACATCAGGAATTTAATGTACGCGATCGATTTCACAGAAAAAGCTATCGGCTAGGCTTGTTGGTTTGCGTCAATATCATAGCTCTCCGGCAGCTTGGAATAAGTAGGCTTGTGAGCAGGTGCAGGATTTTTATCAAAGAGACGTTAGGCTTCAACGTGCGCCCCGTCCCCATCTTCTCTGTGCAGATGCCATTAGTTTCAAGAGTTGCTTGTCCATTTCTATCTGCTGCAGTAGCTGAGGAACCTAGCATAGTGATCTGTGGTCCTAGGGCTCCTTGTCTTGTCCAGACAGTAGCACGTCGGTGGGCGCAGCTTGCACATGAGAACAAGAGGTGCCGCAGCGTTTTGTCTCCTCAGGCTGGACGTCTGACGCACCAACACTCCTTATCGTCCTTCCAGGGAATCGTCTAACGACCTTGATGTGAGTATCCGTTTTCGCTCTCGCCGAAACACAACTTGGACTCCTTTTCGTAGAGTTTGCAGGATCTGACTGCATTATGAGTCCTGGGTGCGACAACTGCTCACAGCTCTCAGCCTCACCTTGGTAACGCGTCGTCTGATATCTTGGAATTCCAGAGTTGGTTTTCGGCCCACAGCAACTGAGGAGATCCTAATTGAGGTACTTTCACTGGGTTGAATATTCGCTTGACCCTTTGGTTTAATGAGCATTTGAGGACTCATAGAAAGCGATACGAAGATGTATCCCCTCGTCATCCTGCGCATTCTCGGCACGTCGAGTTTATCCTAAGTTCCTCTAGTTTCTGAGGCAGAGAATCTGATCATCAATTTTCTATCACCGATCGTCAAATTGGTGGTAACAGGCCCGTCTCCGAGAGAACATGTGGTATTTACTGCATTCGGAGGAAATGGCAGTTGCTCGACGGCCTTTCTAGTTTTGTCAGGCATTTAGAACTTAACTTGTTAAAGCAGCTCGAGCGTGGGTTGTAATCCCAGTAGAGGTTGAAACCCAACTCAGATCAATTCATTGAGAGACGAGCATGAACACATCCGTAGCACACCATGTAGCTATGGATAGTGGTAACAGAAGAAACTGTCAGTGGTAACGAAACGTATCATTTCGCAATGTTTGGATTGTATCATACGATGCTTGGATTGATTAAATTCTTGTGTGTATCAAAACTTTGGTCGGCGGAGAACTTGCTGCCAGCGCAGCAAAAAAGGGTCCGGAGTGTTGATAAAAGTTTTCACTTTAGGAAATTCCGATGTTTCTTTACCCGTGAAATATTTTTGCACAGGAACGTTCACGGTGATTTTTTTCATTTTTCAATTGCTTCATGAGAGGGGGTTCCTACAGTATAATTGGCTAAGCCCTTAGGAATTAATGCGAGTCATAAGGACCGTAAGATATGCGTGAATTGACCTCTCTGGTATTCACAAATGGCATTGCCAATGCAGATCAAAATTTCAGGAGCAGACAGGATACTTAAAATTACAACTATCAGCTCCGTGTCGGCGACGAAGAACTGGAGTAGGGATTATGACTCCCGCGAATTAATTTCAACGTGCAACTCACATGTATGTCCTGCATTGACATTTGGCCTTCCAAAGCGAGGTGTTCTGAGATGTATTAAAAGCCGTAGCTGGCCGTGCACAAACTTGAGGCTTATCCTTCATGCTCTTCTGTGGCTGCCTTCACATGCTAAAGGTGGTCCTCATATGCACATGACAGAAACCCAAGCCAGTGCAATGGACTACCCCGAGACTGTGCAACTTTCAACCTCAAGAACTTTTTGGAATTCTCATGATCCAACTCTTGACCCCTTTGACGAAACTCTGGTCTCCACCTTGGCTCCGCTGGAAGCCTCGTGCAGCTCCACGTTCCTTTTCCAAGCGACAAGCTCCACATGCGACAATGGAGGCGACAGTCCGGTGTTCAAGAGACCGTATCAACAGACCATGTTCGGTGAGAGCCCAGAAGGTGGAGGCGAATCGAGAGGAACTACAGAGTCGTATTGTATCAATGTTCCAGCTGGTAGTACGGCCGACTCTTCACAGTTTTCGTGGTTTTCATCTTCACCACACTTCCATGGCGCTCAAGGGGTAAGATTCAAAAATAACTACACAAGAAAACCCCAGTGGGTACTGCCTAAGATCAGCCTGCTTGCTTATTATCTCTAAAGTGTGTCCTTGTAACGGGTCTTCTTCATTCTCCCGGTCTTGCGCGGCCGCATGTACAACAGCACTGCCCATTAAAAAGGTCAACAGGCTAGCTATAGTGGTCCCTTAAGTGTTCTATGATGTTAGCAAAAAAGAAGAGGACCTCCTTAGCTTTTTGCACAGCTTGTGCTATTCACTCGTATGTTGCCCACAGTCCTCCCGGTCCGAGTACAATTGTCCAGCAACAGCAACTACTCCAGCAGTAGATGAGGCAAAGTGTAGGCATCATCTTTGACGAGGTACTGTTCGTAGATCACAAGTACATCGTATTCAATATCAGTCCTGACATGATCGCTACGTCCAAGGGGTACTCCGAGTTCCATACAAAATATTTCATCATTGCAAATTGGCAGGCTTTTCTATTCTTCGCACTCATGAGTACTGGAGAACTGTCCGGGTGTAACATCTCCGTGTGGGTTGACCTGTTACTAGTTGAGCCGCTCGATTGCTAGTTCAAAGGGAAGCAGCAAGATTCCACAAACTGCCGTGTATCATGATGGCATGATACTTGGAAATCATTTACCCATGGATGCACATGGGCGAGAAGCAATGAATGTGGTAATCATCACGGAGTTCTTTGGATTTGCCTAGTTTTTGATATCTGACCCAGTTTCGTTCCGGTGCTCTGTAGGTTAGTGCTTTTCAGACGCAGTTTTTCGAGAGCTCCACCAGTGCAGACGTTCGAGTTCAGCTCCATCACCAGGGAGGCGGTCACAGTCAAGACCAATTCGGAACTCTCAACTCTTCGTCGGCTCAAGCTAGTTCCATCACCCACAACGCTCAAGATTTAGGCCATGGCTCTGATTACCAGGCATTCCTAAAACCCCTCATGCGACAACCGAGTTTCAGCCGCCCGGATTCTGGCATCCAAGTGGTGACGAAGCAGCTCAATGCCAAAGCTTCTTGGCAATCGACCCTATTTCAGACGAAAATGGCTTTCGACCAAAGGAAAAACTCCAACAAAGAGTCTCTTGGCTCACCCTGCAGTGTCATTTCAGGCATCACCAAGGTCTTACAAGGGGTGGAGCCCGTCTCTAGCGACCACATGGAAAGCTTCGGTCCATCGACATCTTCAGCTTACGAGGAGGTCAAGAACGTCAAGTTTCAGGAGACGCCTCCTGAGTGTGAAGGAGCTACACAATCGATGTTAGGAGCTCAAGAGGCGAGTGGCCTCATGAACCATTTGAGGCCGAAAAGGAAGAGGTCGAGAGCGCCGAAACAAGGTGATGAAGTGGAGAGCCAACGGATGACACACATCGCTGTTGAAAGGAACCGCAGAAAGCAGATGAACGAGCATTTGGCTGCTCTTCGTGCTCTCATGCCAGGCTCTTACGTTCAGAAGGTACTCTCAATATCTAAATAGCTGCGTAGAAGCAAAAAAAAGGCACAATTTCCTTATTTCGCTCAGCACGAAATGCTCTAGTGTGTGACAAAAACCTGCAAATGAATTGGATCTGAAGTACAGAATAGTTCTGATGTTCATGTCATGCATTTTAAAGGGTGATCAAGCGTCCATTGTTGGCGGAGCCATTGAATTCGTCAAAGAGCTCGAGCATCTTCTGCACTGTCTGCAAGCACAAAAGCGGCGGCGAGCCTACAATGACATTTCAACAGCCGTGATTCCCACAAGCTCTCGTATAGCAATGCCAAGTCTTGATCAACTGTGCGCCATTCAGCCTCCTTTCACTTTCCAAAGTCCCCAGGTAATTCCAGACCTCCATTGAACTTATTTCCATCCCAGCTACGGTGCCACTCCTTTGAGTCTTCAATGCTCTTGGATTGCGGCACAAACATCTGCTACTACATCGAACGTTGTTGTTAGATGCCCCTTCACGTGAATAAAGAACTGCATCCAGATCCCCCTGACTAAATTATTCATGGTGACTTCCTTCCGATGATCAGCAGAGACTGATAGATCAAGGCCCATTTCATCTGGGAGTGCCCACAGAAAGTCTCGGCAGCAATACAAGAAACTCACAACTCGTGGGGTTTTTTCCACCGAGCCAGCTGCCAGCACCACCGATCCCGCTGCTAGCACCCGCATCATCGTCATTACTGGGCATGAATGAGATTGTGGGGGAGGCGAAGTCGGACATGGCAAGTGTGGAGGTGAAAATGGTGGGATCCGACCAAGCTATGGTGAAGATCATGGCGCCGCGGCGCAGCGGGCAGCTGCTACGCACCGTGGTGGCCCTGGAGAGCTTGGCACTCACCGTCATGCACACCAACATCACCACCGTGCACCACACAGTCTTGTACTCGTTCCATGTGCAAATCAGTCTCCATTGCCGCTTAAACGTCGACGAGGTCGCCGCCGCGTTGCACCAAACGTTCAGCTCCCTACACTCTCTGCAATTCTGAGCATCACATCCATCGAAGGACCCAGAAATCCACAACATGAATATGATAACTTGGAAGAGTATCGTTTGCTGCTGGCAAACTATTCGTGCTTTACGTGCTTTTGTGACTCCACCCCAGTTGCAAAGAGCATCGTTGGTATACGTTTTTATCAAGGATAGTCTTTCAAGAGAGGGCCAGAAACAGCCAGCTACTCCATGTAGTATGATCGATTTAGATGAGCTTTGAGCTGAACATAGATTGATCGATCTAGCTGGCAACTGCTGCAAATGTTGTACGAGACTCTGCCCAGCTCCTTAAGTGGAGCCTAACGTAGGTGTAGTGTGGAGGCAAACGCTTGTGATTTGTATGCGGCCGACAACTCTGGAAACGGTCCATCAAATATTAATTAGCGAATGTTCCAAATTAGCATTTCGCTGCAGTAGTGAAGCAAATGTCGAAGAGGGGTTTTTCTTTTTTCTTTTTGTTTTTTTTGCTCTAAAAGCTTTGTCATAGTATGAATTGCTTGACTCAAATGGCATTCATCTTTTCCAAGTCGTACACAGTTTTTTTTTATCATGCCTGCTATATGATAATTCACCCTCTTTGTAACGTTACTTGTTTATAGTTCTATTCAAGCATTATGGGGTGGATCAGTGTTGCTGGATCACCGGGACGGTACTTTAATTGCACTAAAATTCAAAGGGTATGGCATCTACCAGTTGCCCATAACATTGTATCGTTAAAAAAAACCAATACTGTGAGAAAAATAACTTTTAACTATGCATTTGTATGAACTCATAGTTTCTGTCTTCTTTGCTCGGCCAAGTCACCACATGTCCATTCTAGCAGGCAAACTCTAATGTGTTGATGGTTTTAATGGTTGCTCTACGTTCAGAACGTCACTGAAATCTTACCTTTCCATTCAATTTTATTCGAAAGATTATAAGATCAGAGAGCATGTCTGCCATAGCTTAGTTCATTTACAGGTAGAAATGAGGCACCGTAAACTTAAAATGTAACCGAAGAAAGTTTTGTGCTCAAACCAAAGCAGATTTAGAGAAGAAAATCGTATTGTTTTTGAATCAACCTCAATTTTACCTCAATCTTACCTCCTCTTTGTATACGGCTGAATATACTAGGGCTTCAGGCACTGCACCCAGAGGGTTCATCGAGAGAACGGACGAACGATTTTACCATCTTCTGGTTAACGACGAATAGTATGACTTCTCGTTCGCTAAGGTCGGCTTCTGTTGCTCCAACTTTCGCTCAGTTTGGTTGCATGCGAGGCAATGCGCAGACGTGCACTCGCTGGGTTTTGGTGAGAGCATTGTGTGGGTCGGAGTGTGAGATTGAGAGGAGGAGTTGAAGGAGCATGGGGAAGAAGAAGGGTGGTCAAGGCGGTGGTGGAGGAGGAGGATATGGCAGCAACAAGAACCCTCCCAATCAACCTGGATTGCTTCTCCATGCCAAACCTGTCTCGCTGAGGGAGCAGTTGGGTAGAGGAGGTGGTGCAGCAGCAGCAGCGTCGGCACAAACCCAAAACCCCAGCGCGCTACCCTCAACCTTGCGAGCTGAGCACCTGCTGCGACTCGCGACGTGGGCTAGCGCCAATGTTCCTTCTCTCGGCGCTCTTTTGGGCGCCCGCCTTGGCCATTTGAGCGAAGCTGCAGCTGCTCTCCTTCCCGATTCTCCTCATTCCATCTGTGAAAGGTGTGTGCCCTGGATTCTGCAACTTATGGCTAGGACAAATAAAGTAGTTCGGCGGTTTTTCTCTTTCAACTTCGCTAAACCCTAATTTCTGTTTTATCATAGCATAATTTTATTGGGGTTTCGAGAGAGATAGAGATTTTTTTAACCGAGATGTCTCACCGTATCCAGAGCTATAAATATTATTTGTTGATCGGATTCAGTGCCGCAATTTTCCCTCCCCTATCCTGCCATCTCCAATTGATAATTTCTTGATTGGAAATTTGACAGCAGTCTGGCAGGACGAAAATCATGTGTTTCTGGCCAATATGGTGTCAATTGTCATTTTAATGACGAACTGTTGTCTGCAGATGTGAGTCCATCATGCAGGTGGGAGTGAATTGTTCTGTCCGCATAACAAAAAACAAGAGAAAGCGAAAGTCGAGGAATGCAGACAATGTGTGCAATTATGTGACATATTTTTGCCACTACTGCAAGCACGGAAATTTGAAGCCTGGAACCTCCAAGAACCATCTGAAGACAAAGATCTCACAAGCGGCAGCTCGATCAAACTTAAAGGTGCTCGGACTTTCAAAACCGGTAGAAAGGATACCCAATAAGAAGCTATGAGTGGAAACCTGTGCCGTTGGCCATGGAATCTCAAGAATTTGATTAGTTGCCTTAGATGTATATATATATATATATATATATATATATCTATGTTTACACACACACAAAAAGAATGTATTATCATTATTATTACTAATTACAAAGTAACTTGAGGATCATAAATCAAGATTAGATTGTAAGAAAGACATTAATAAGACTACAAATGACCAAAGTCTTACTCTTTATACTAATTAAGAAGATAATTATGTGGAGAGTTCCTAAAAATTGTGAACCTAAAAACAGTGAAGAGTGAAGGTCAAGTGTCTAAATTATGGGTTGTTTTTGCATTGTAATGGCTTCTAAAATGCAAAAGTGTATCTGATTGTTCTTGTGGCCATGGAGCATATCCAAAAACTCTTATATATCAAATATGTGTTATAGAAGCTTCTTAGATATTTATTAAAATAAAGCTTAATCATCACAATTTTTTTAACATTTAAAAAAAATGAATTATACACTTCTATATACTTTAATAATATAAATATATAAGACAGTTTCTTCATATCAACCTCACAAAGATAGTAACAATATTCTTATAATTATTACATTTTATTTTATAATAATATATTAAAAATACAAAAACAAATCTTTAAAATTTCGAGGTTATCCTTCAAAATTCCTAAGAATGTTTCTAGAGCTCTCTTAGTAGAACAGTTGTAGACTTAATTAGATTACATAACAAAAGCTTTTATAATACAAAATAATGTTGTTGCAATCACATTTCTATGTTGCAAAAAATTCTACAAAAAGAGTGCACTTGATAACTTAATACAATGACTTATAGCTTAAATGAGATATGTTATAGGAGTAAAAGTTTATTTTTATTTTTATTCTAAATAATAAAAGTCTCAAAAATTATGTAATAGAGTAAAATCACTCTATTAAGTGATTTCATTTCTTTTTTTTATGATTTTTAAATAGTTTTTTGATGATGCCTTGGATCTTGGTTCTTTTTACAATATTTCAAATTTTTCAAATCAATAGAAAAGAAAATTACAATATTTTAAATTACTTTGTTGAGTTCTTTTTACACTAACATAATACTCCTAAAAACATCATTTAGATTTTGAGTGGACAATACAAAACTAATACAATTGAAGTTGTTCTTGGAGAGACAAACTTCAAGTGTGCATCTCTAAAATAAATTCTAGCGATTGAAGTTGGAATGTTCTTCTTGTATTCATTTAATGAAGATAGGTTGTAAGGACAATGTGCGGGATCGCTATTGCTACTAAACCCCTATGTTTAGTATTATTTTATGTAAATTGCTATTATCATAGCTTTGTTTGTAACTAAGGAGTTTAAGATTTTATGTTTTAAAGCAAATCATTGCAGTAGCTTCAAGAGCTTTCTTCATCTCCATTTGCATTTTCATTGGTCCAATTAGTGATTAAAATTAAATGTATACCTCACAAAATCCAACGCCTATTATCCCTCCTTCCTCACAACTCATGCCTTGTCAGGAGGAGGTTGTGATCCTATTCAACTTCAATGTAAGAAAACTTATTTGTACATCAATTATCCTGAATACAACATCACAAAGTAACTGTGTCAATGCAATTGTAGGTGTCAAAAGTCTACTCTATTAATTCTAGAGAAATTGACAACAATAAAAACTTCAATAAAATTTATGATCTTAAAGATATATTTCATTATAAGATAGATATGCTGCTTCCTTTGTTTGGAGCATTCGAAATTTAATGTATAATAAAAAGAAAAAAATTCTTAATATCTTCAAATCTTGTGATTATATAATGTAATATTAAAACAAAGATTAATCATTGCCTATTGATAATCAAATTGCAAGCATACTTTCACGTAATCAAATTTGAAAAGAATTGTGAAATTCTTGAGCTTGAAAATTAATTACAAAATTATGAACGTCATTGCTCTTTTTTCTTGCTTAATTCCCTTCTTGCCACTTTGATGCTATCACCAAAGAAATTGAACACATTATTCAATACTTTTGATGAAAACAAAGATAGATGCATGTAGTAAACATATTGCTCAACCAAAATTTCATGTTTTTTTTAAGGCTATATGAACTCCAACATTTCATTTTTAATGAAAATAAAGAAGGATGTATACAAAAAATTAAAACGTCATTTTATCTTTTCTATTTAACTCCTTAAGTTATTTATAATAGATTGTCATTTGCTAAAATTACTAGTAGTTGGTGAATCTTTCTTTTTAAAATCAAGACTTATTAGCTTATAAATAAGTAGATTTGAAAATTGTGATTGAATAAAAAAGAGATTTTTAGATTATGTAAGTTCTTATTGACAAGTAGTAAATTCATTGGAAATGCAATCATTTGAGTTTTTCTAAATATTTGTGTGAATCACTTGCAAAGAATTTTTTGTATCACAATTTTTATTGTTAATTGTTATAGTGGATAATTTTGTAGCTGCACTGTTGTCAAGAAAGAAAAGAAAGATGAGATTCTATATTGTTGTTGTATTATATGTTGTCTTACTTGAGAATTCATTGGGCACTTTGTTATAGAAGGTAAATTGGAAATTGCAACAAAAAAAGTCCAATAGAATCTTAAATAAATTCCAATTAAATCTTAATAATCTTAATTATATTTTAATTAATTCTTAAGAAATCTTAAATTTTTTTTATAAAGAATCATAAAGAAATCATAAAAGTATTTTGAAAGAAATCATAAAAAGATTATAAATAATACTTAAAGAAATATCACAAAAAGAAATTTTAAGGAAATAAAAAAAGAAATACTAAAAATATTTTAAAATAAAAATCCTAAAAAAAATTATAAAATAATAAAATAATAAATTAATTCTAATAAAATCCTAATAAAATCCTAAATAAATTCTAAGTAAATTTTAAATAAGTCTTAATCAAATTCCTATAGTAGCTTTAAATTTTAATAATAATTATTCAAATTATTGATTTTGATTAAGTTTTTTTTAAATTTCAATCTTCAAGAAAAAAACAAAAACACAAAGTATGAGAAAGTCAAACTTATTATTAAAAAAAAAAAACTCATTATACTCTTGGATATTGGATGTCTTCTTTTTCCAATCTAAAAGTTGATCTTTAACAATAATTACTCCTTGTTAAACCATTCAATTGCTTAGAAACTCAAATCTACTATTCTTTCACAAATTTTTGCTTCAATCATTAGATTTCTCAGGATTATAAAAAATCTTGCTAATCCTAAAATTCAAAATTTTAAGATCTTAATCCAATTAAATATCAGCATCCTTTAATTTAACTATTAAATTGACTTCAAATCTTTAAAATACATTTAAGACAAGCACATTGATGAATATGAAATTTCACATATACATTTGTTATAATACTTATAAATTTCTTAATTATATAAGCCTCTTTTTATATCTCAAAATCCAAAATCCAAAATTACTAAAATCATCTCACTTTAAAAAGCTCTCAAAAACTCAATATCTTTCAAATCACTTTTAAAAAATACTAAAAAAATTCTCTGTAGTTTTTTATTTTTATTTATTTATTTATTTATTTACATTAGCAAAAAGAGACAAAAAAATGCTGTAGGTGTACAATTTTGTGCTTTAGGATCTCATTTTAACCTCAATTCACAATTAATCTTCTTCAAATATCAATTCTTTGTATTTTAAGATAATTTTTGCCATAAAATATTTTTAAGTCTTTTCTTAAGATGCTTATGATATTTACTTTTTTAATCTATTTTTTTTTTTTACCTTTTTTATGGCTATACAAAGTAAGATGAAGTTTTTTTAAAAAAAATAAAAATGTATAATTAATACTAAATTTTTTTACTATCTTTTTATCTTTTATCCATATTTTTCTAATATATCTTTCAATTAGGCTCTTCCATAATAAAACCTATATTTTTTTCTTTTTTCATACATTTGTGTTACAATACAATATTGCATTGAAAAAAATATTTTTGCAATGAAGTTTATTATGATCACTTCCACACAAAGTTCGATATACTAGAGCTTGATCCTTCAGCCAAAAGTAGATAACTCTAACAACAATATATGATGTATAATGTTTCCTTAGATTTTCTAATTTCTTTTGTATACTTATCAAGAATTACTTTCAAATTTCTGCTTCTTTCACTCAATTCATATCTAAAGACAAATTGAAATGAAGATCTCAAACACAAAGGGCTTTTAAGATTTGAAAGTAGCTTTTACTATAGCTTCAATCTTATTCCATCTAGATTTTATAAAAGCCTTTTCTTTGGAGACTAATATTTTCAACTTTGTATTAAAATCTGTATTATCACAAATAGAAAAAAGATAGAAAGTTCCATCTAGTTGCATTTTATTCTAGAAAGTTTTTAGCTATGGAGATTAATTATGATATTCATAATAAAAAGCTTCTTACAATTGTAAACTCTTTTCAAGAATAATATGACTTATTAGAAGGCACTAAACATCTTATATATATATATATATATATATATATATATATTACAAAAGTTTGAAATATTTCATGTTAGCTTGGATTTTGAATCGCTGCCAAACTTGTTGAAATATGTCATTATATTGTTTTGATTTTGTGATTATATATGGAATAGAATAGCAGCAAGGACTATTAGACACTTTATTAAGAAGATCATATCTTACTCCAAAGGCTAAAAAGATAGTATTTAATTAATAATATGTCATTCTCTTGAAACTAGAATAATTTTATCTTTGTGCTATTTCTATGATTATATCTATTGATTTAAGTTTTCTTGAATAAATTCATGCAACATGTGCTAAGAATTTTTTACTTTGTAATATCAAGCAGCATCCTTATAATAATAAGTTCAAGCTTGTAGAATTATATATTATATACAATATCTTATTAATAGCTTTATAGAAAAGTCATCTTAAAATAGATTTAGATTTTTGAAGATAACATTGATGAAACTCTTGTATCTTTTATAGCACATTAACTAGATTTTCTACTAGTTTTCATGTATATTCAAAAGTATATTTTTAGAATATTTTTAGAATATTTTAGAAAATTCCAGAAAGTTCTAAAAAGATTAGAAAAGTTATTTGAGAAGCTTCTTAACATTGTTTCATCTTAAAATAATATGGAAACATCTTAAGAAGCTTCCTAAAGTTGGTTTGTCTTCAAACAACATGAAAATTTCTTGAAGAG